TAATATCGTCCAATTATATATCTATATTTTAAATATTGTTTTTTTGGTTAAATTGCTATTTACAAACATGTATATCTTAGATCATTGTCATCACGTCTGCTATTATGAATAATCATATAATATAAAGAGAGCCATACTTTTCATTACGAAGCTCCACCGTCAGTTTATGAGTTTCTTTACCATTAGCTGATACAACTTCAATAGGAGTTACCTCAACAATCTGACCTATGACATCTGAGACAAAATATATGACATATCATTGAGTATTCATTCGTTTATTAAATGAAAGCACCGGAATTATGTAACTTACCAACCAAATAGTCCGTACTGAGTGTACCATCAAGAATATCCCTGTAGTTAACTGGTTTAAAACCAGTTAGAGCATTAGGCAAATCATCACAATTCCTCACGCGTGTTGTCGACAGAAAACCAATTCTGTATGGATGTATGGTTGTTCGGTACGATCCACAAAAAGGGTTTAGTGAAAAGTTGATGAGAATCTTTGAACTTCCTTGTGAAAGGAATGAATCGAACTGATTAACCAGATCTTTTTTCACAGTAGCATTAATCTTAACACCCTACAAAAAGCAACAAATATAGTCAAAAATTAGATAGGTTCATTAAACATACTAAATATTACTAACGTGAAGAGTAAATGATATTTAGGTTCTCATCGATTAGAACCATCTCAATTGTTTCTCCACCGGCTGTAGAATACTGCTTCCACAAACGAATGATCTTCACTCTAATCTTCCACATAAACTTGAACGGTTTCAAATCTGACACAGCAGTAATCGCAGCCATTAGAGAAAGATGAGTGAAGAATAACTGGGTTTTCGTTTAGGTTATGAGTTCTAATGATGAGAACAAACATTTATTATATAGGGGATAATAAACCTAATGGACTTCGACCACAAGATAATTAAATGTAAATATCTTTGCCTTGGTCAGTAATTTACTTCGACCACAAGAATGTCAATATTGCCATAAACCAAACTTTTTAAATAAATGAAAATATCCTATCATCATTAATAAACCTTGCCAAACACTTAAATACTGCGAACCGGCCAAGAAAACATTAACCGTTTCAATTCAAAGAAGAGTAGTCAAAACCAAAGGTTCTATCCAAGTAGTCGGTTCAATATCAGAGTAGTCGAAACCAAATGGTTTAACCATATATAAAAAAAGGAGTTCTCGGTTTAAACAAACTACATCAAATACATATTCAGAAGTTCATGCTTTGTACAAGAAACTTGCATTATATATATTTCCAGTAAAGATAAGTCAAATAGGTTTCTTTGTGAAGACGAAGATCGTTAGTGACCATGCTTTCTCGTAAATATGAATATCGTTAGGGACCATGTACAATCATGGACGTGAATATGCAAATAAGTAGTAGTATATAACTTCAATCTTACAGAAAACTCTCTTTGACACTCCTCGTACTTCAGTTTTGCTATTACGTTTCCGAAAATGTTGCACATTGCCTTAAGGTAGTAACATGGGAACTTACCGTTCAGTTCCAAGAAGTACCTGATGATTCGTGTCTCGTCTTTGCATAACTCGTCTTCAAGGTTGAGATTAGGTGTTGTGGGTTTGTCTGAAGGAGAAGGAAGGAGCCCAACAATCGCTAAAGAGATTGCTATGCCACTGAGCTTTAGTTTCTAAATAGATAAAGATATCTCAATATATTCGTGTGCGAAGTTTTACATGAATATTCGATACAAAACTTTAAACTCCAAACTTGTAAAACATTAGAGTGAGTCTCAAGCACTGATGTTTTCAACACTGGCGCTTTTATATACTCTCTTGAATATCCCTGCAATCACCTGTTGTTTGAAAAACACACACACAACTTAGACGACGAAGGAACTTCAAAAAATATATAACTTAGATTACGAAGCCAAGAAAAGTATTTTATATACCCTTCCAGGTCCCAATTCATAGCTGTTCTTAAGTCCTTTGGATAAGAGAGTCTTTACTGTCGTCTCCCATTGGACTGGAGATGTCACCTGGCCGGGTTTCAACACCGTTTTGAGTCTTTAAGAAGATCAATGATAGGAGCTGCGAAAGAATCTCGGCCAGGTTGCTGAAACATGATTCCATCCATACGAGCTTGTACACCCTCGCTGACTGTTAATTCACCGACTAGTCCTTTCAGAGTTCTCTCTACTTCAATCACCGAGCTTCCTATACCGCTTAAGTCGAGGTTTTTCATCTCGAGTTCCTCGTCTTTGTCTCGTGAAGTCACTGAACGACTCTTTCCAGTGGAGAGAGCTCCTAGGAAGAAGACGATGGTGCTCATTGAGGTTTTCATTATTGTTGTTTGAGAGAGAGACACAGCAGGTTCATATTTATATGTTCGAGATTTGTTGAAACTGATAATTGCTAAGGTTTGAAATTGAGAGAAACACACAACAGGTTCACGTAATATGTAGTTAGTCTCTTAATATGTCAAGACACGTAATATGGAAAGTTAGGAAATCTAGTTTATGAATTTGGAAATATTTTTTGTGAGAAGCATTCTGGAAGCGACACGTCAGAATTTTCTCTCAATTCAATGTGAACGCATTTAATGCAAAATGCTTCTCTTTTAATATATAAGGGATAGATAGAGAGAGAGAGTATATAGATAGAGAGAGAGAGAGATGTGGTGATCTATGGAATAAATAGAACACAGTTTCTCTTTGTCTACAACAAGCTGAAATATAATAACTTAAAAAGAAAGCGAATATTCTCAATGGGGCGATTAGTTGAACTATAAATGTAGAAATTTTATTGTAGAATTTAGTCTGTAAAACTTTTTGATGTAGTTGTATTTCGTGTAGCCACAAAATTAAATTAGAAAATGATAGAAAAAAATATTCTTATACCAATATATTTTTGCTTTAGAAAATAAGGTTCAAACATCCATTTTTTCTTCGCTTTAGCTTTAAAAATACTTAAAGTTAAAGCATGAGTGATAATTTATATGGTTGTAGATAGAAATTAAGTTACAGCCAATACTTACAGCCCAAGCAATCACTCATCATTATTAGGTATAAACATTACTGTTTAATTGACACATTGTCGATTTGTGACATGTTAGAGCTGTTTAACTAGAGTATGTTTGGATAATATCTGGGATGCTAATACGATCAGAGATCTGTTTGTGGATGTTGATGCTTCACTGATTATAAAGATCAGGCCAGCAATTAATCTTAGTGATAGATTGTGTTAGGCCTTCTCACGTGATGGCTCTTATTCGTCTCAAAGCGGATACAAAATGATCGAGTCTCTGAAACCAGGTAGTTCTGCTCTGCCTCCAGTGGAAAAAATGTTGTGGAGAAATATAAAGTTGAAAACGTCGCCAAAGATTAGACATTTTGTTTGGAGATCTTTGGCTGGTGCACTTGCTGTTGCTGATCAGCTCCGTTCCAGAGGCATTAATGTTAATAGAATCTGCAAACAATGTGATCACGGGGTGGAAACCATTTGCCATGCCCTCTTCAATTTGCCCTTTACAGTGAATACTTGGGCAGAAGCTGGATTACCTCTCCCACCGCGTGGTTTATCTCAAAACTCTGTTTTCTTCAATATTTTTCACCTAGTGTCGTATATTAAAAGTAAAGAATGCCCTTCACACCTCAAGCAACAGATTCCATGGATCCTTTGGAATATTTGGAAGGCTCGTAACGCACTTGTATTTGAGAAGGTAAGATGGGATCCTGCTTCGATCCTGAGAAAAGCTGAAGAAGAAGCTAATGAATGGTTGCAGGTAAACTACCCGGAAGCTCAAACATCTAAAATTATTCAAGAGAACCACCGAAGAGAGTCTTCATGGATTGCGCCTCCTTCTTAATGGATCAAATGTAACATAGGTGCTTCGTGGTCTTCAAGCATGAAGAGAAGTGGTGCCTCGTAGATAGTAAGAGATTGTAGAGGCAAAGTGTTGATACATGGCCGCCGGTCCTTTTATGAAGTTCCAAACCTTGTGATGATAGAACTTCTTGCTACCTTATGGGCTGTTGATTGTTTGAGGACCATTCGTAAGGACAACATCATTTTTGAGTCCTGTTTTCTGTTGGCGAGAACTAGTCTTCTAGACTCTTGCCATTCTTCGGAAGTAGGGAGTGTGGTGAGCCAAATTTTGGCTAACATCCAAAGCTTTAATGCATGGTCAATGAAGTATGTGCTTTCCAGCAGAAACAAAGTCGCCATGAGCATTGCAGATAGTGTGATTGCAGAAGGTAGATACCAATCCTATATTACAAACAACAGTCCAAACTAGCTTGGTTCTCTCATTGCAAAGGAAGCCGAGGTGCTGACTCATGGTAATGGAATGGCTTCTTAACGATTTCTCTTTGGGCCTTTGTCCCTTTTATTTTGTGTTTCGATTACATGCCTACTGGTGTGTCTCCTGTCTTTTCAGCCTTAGAATCTTTTACATTTGTTTTGGTATTTTTGTCTAGAGGGTTTAATAACATCCGGTGTTAAAAAAAAAGAGTGTTTGGATATCAAATTTAAAAATTTTAAGTAATTTAACAAGTTTTTGGCACTATTCTATTTTGTTAGGAATGAAAAAAGCAATGCCCCCAAGTTAAGGCATGAATCAATCGTTTTTTTTCTCTCTCTCTTGAATACATGTTCAAATCTAGTTGTGAGTTAATAGGAGAACATAAAATAAAATAGAGAAATAGTAGCACTGCAACCGACCAATGAACAAAATAAAAAGCCCAATTCAATTTGACGGAAAGATAAAATAATAATCTAATCAAAATAAGTCAAAACCATGTTTTCAACTATTATCACTATACCGGTATTACCCATTTCCCTTTTTCTCTTAAGAAAAGGAAATATATTATTTATCAAAACCATCACATTCACGACATGCAGGCAAGTCATTTACATTTTTAAAGATATTAAAGGTGTGTCTCCCACGTAAAACCATCACACTGATTTTGAAACCCAATATATAAACACATCTCTCGACCATAAAAACAAATTCAAATCCAATCAAACTGGGAAACATATAACACAGGCAAAATAATGAAGTCGGCCGTGGTCTCATCAGTCCTCGTCCTATTCGTGATTTTCGTGGCCTGCCCGGTATCAGCTGGCTGGAAAGATTTACCTGGAGCTGGAGGATACGGAGGCGACGAGGACGATGACAACGAGACTAAGTCATGGTTTCCTTTGGACAATCAGTTATCTTTGAGTTATTATGATAAGATTTGTCCAGATTTTGAGAAGATCGTTGCTACCAAAGTGAGAGAATGGACAAAAAAGGACTCCTCCCTTGGCCCTGCCCTCCTCCGCCTTCTCTTCCATGATTGCGGTGTCACGGTATTGCAATTATATCTCATTTCCTATTATACTTATTCAACATTAATAGTAACATACTAACTTCGTACTAGTATATACATATATTTTCATAATCTCATGCGAAAGCTATATGTTATCATTACATAGTTTTAAAAATGTCCTGATTAATGGGTGCTCACTGGTTAGTCTATATGATACATTTGAACGAGAAGATAACAAAACTTGGATGTGATAACAACTTTCAGGGATGTGATGCGTCTGTTCTTCTCGACCACGAAGGATCAGAGAGAAGATCTCCGGCTAGCAAAAACCTAAGAGGCTTCGAGCTAATCGACGATATCAAGTCCGAGATCGAAAAGTCCTGTCCTGACTTAGTTTCCTGCGCCGACATCCTAACCGCAGCTAGCCGCTACGCAACCCTCCAACTCGGTGGTCCTTACTGGCCTAACGCCTATGGACGCCGTGACTCCACCGACTCTTACGCCAGAGATGTCGAGAAAGTCCCCTCAGGCCACCGTGACATCACTGGCCTTCTCGAGACATTTCAGTCTTACGGACTCAATGTTCTCGACCTTGTTGTCCTGTCCGGAGCCCATACCGTCGGAAAAGCTTACTGTGGAACTATCCAGTCTAGGATTTACAACTTCAACGGAACCCATGGAACTGATCCATCGATTGACTCCAAATACGCAGATTTCTTGCGCCGCAAGTGTCGCCTGGCCTCAGAGACTGTTTACCTAGACGCTGTGACTCCGGTGAAATTTGATAATCAGTATTACATTAATCTTCAGAACAATATGGGAGTCTTGACGACCGATCAGGAGCTTGTGAAAGATCCCAGGACCGCTCCACTTGTAAAGGCTTTTGCAGAGCAGCCTCCTCACATGTTCAGACAGCAGTTTGCTGTGTCGATGGCTAAGCTGGTCAATGTTGGTGTCATCACTGGTGAAGATCGTGTTGGAGTGATCAGGAAGGTTTGCAGCAAATCTAACTCCAAACCTTACTGACTGAAAAATCGGAGCTGAGTTTATAAACAAATATGGCTTGAAATACTTCTTGTTTGGTTTCAATTGTAATTTTGGTACCTGGCTGTCTGAAGATTAAAATGCGAATCTTGATTTACACTGAGAATTTGGCTCAAATCAAAGAATTTATACACTTACCATTTTATCTGATCATGGTTTTAATCGATCCAACATGATTAAAATTTGTATGAAGGCTTATAATGTAAATGAATCCTAAAATATAACCCTAAAATGTAGTTTATCAATCGAGTAAACAGATGTGAGATAAGCTTTTGATGCAAGAAATGAAACATGGGGATTGGGGGGACATAATCAGATTCAGAATTTCGGTTCAGGATCATGTTCTTGTGTTCTCTATATACTGAATCTCGTCAAAAAATAACAGTACAAAACAAGACTTGGCTATGAGAGGTGAAACATAGTAAAACCAAAACTTGGGAGCTTAGACACGCTTGCCTCGAAGGAAACCCTTACTGCGACGATTCTTCATCCCCATCTTAAACTTCTTCTTCAGCTTCCTCCCGATGGGTTTTAGAGACTTGTTATGCTTCTCACCATCCATTTCCACATCTGCAAAAAACGATACTATATAAAACAGTACACCGCAGAAACTAGTATACTTGTAAGATCAACTCAAACTATTACTTCCCAAAGACCCAAACAAACAAAGATTCAGATTTACAGAAACTAGTTTACTTGTAAATTCATGCAATTGTGAACAAAAATTTAATAATTTTCAAGATTCGATAGTCACATTGCTATGCAAAATTAAATGAGTGATTCCGATGAACTTCAATGTTGAAGATTAAGCAGAAAAATCGCTTATTTTATCAAAACCTTTATATTGCTACAGCCTGCAGTTGAAATCGAAAACATACCCGAATCGTTAGCGATAGCAGAGGCGGACTCGGTGGTCGACGAGGCAACTTCCATGAACGGAGAAGGTGGTGGTTGACGAACCGGTAACTTGGGGGCGGCGAGTGCGGCTTCGATGGCGGCGGATTTGGCGTCGTCTCTCGTTAGGGTGAAGGCTTCCTTCTCCACTATTTCTCTTCTTATAGCTCTCAATCTCTTCACCCTCTTGCATCTCATAGATTTCGCCATTGTTGCAAAAAAAAGGGTTTCGAGGAAAAGGAGGTTTTTGATTTGGGCGTAGGATTTTTTATAGCCTAATTGCTAGATTATAAGGCCCAGTAACGATATTTTTATAAGGTCCAAACAATATTTCAAAATTTAATCATAAATACATTATCTTTGCATTTAACTATTTCATATAACCTGTATTCAATCAGCATTCACTAAAAAGAATTAATTTGTTCAAATTTTTTAGAATTTATCATTTCTACTTAATAAATATACATTAAAAATGTAAGAAATGGATTTTTTGAAACCATTATTTTTCTTCTAAGACATGATCTAGCTCTAAATATGCGTAGAGCTAGTTGGGCGAGCAATCGTGAATTGATCGGGTTTCGGTTCGGACTTTATCATTTCTTGTTTATCAATTATGTATTTATATCCTACAATATAAAATAGTATAGTTGTTTAAAATTCGATATAGTAATTTTATATTTTTATATAAATTTTCTATTAAATATTAGAAGAAAAGATGATTTTTTATGTTTGCATATCATTCATACGTGAATTTAAAAATATTTTAATTTGATTGATTATTGATCTTTAATTTTATTTAATTTCATTAAATCTAAAAATTAATTCTAGTAATAGTCAATATCCATATCCAAAAGCTCAAACAATATTACAGATAACTATTTATGATAAGTATCTGAAGTTTTATATAGTAATAGTAAATAATTCTTTATCATTTTCTCTTTATCAGTTGTGTATTTATATCCTACTATATAATTTCTTTTTAATATAATCTTTTAATAGAAATCGATATAGTGGTTTATATTCTTATATAAACATTATATTTGAATATAACACAATAATAACTATTAATGTTTTGTAAATTCACATGTGATTTAAATCTTATTTAAAGGATTAAAAATTTAATAATAAGGATTTGGAAAAGAGTTATAAATCATATACACTGGTTTATAAATCATTCTATCCGAGTTTATAATTTATTTACACAATTACACTATTTTCTAAATTATATTTATTCTTTTTAAATGTTTGCGTTAATATTTCAGATATTTAAAATTTAAAAATAAATATGTTTAACTGAAATATTTTCATTTTTGAATGAATGTAAAATTTCTTCAGTTAAATTCATTTTATTGAAATTGTATTATAATATTTTTTAATACACCTATAAACACATAATATTATATTGACAATGATGAAAACAATCTTGAATATGTATTATTAATTAATATATTAATTATAGATTTAAGTTTCTTTATAACATCAACATAATAATATATCTTCCATTTACTTAATATATATATATATATAGATATCTTGGTGTGGTAATTGGATGCACCATAACTGAATATATAAATTCAAATTTCCTTAATTCCTTTCGAATGTAAATACTAATATTGTGACTAATTTATCCTTGGGCTTTTTGCAAATTTGACTCAAAACTCCAAGTCAAACACAAAACTAACCTCTTCTTTTGACTCATCTTGTTTTTGTCCTATTCACCCCACATCTTCATTTTATTTACGAAAATGCCATTTATATGTTTTTTGAATTTTTTTTCGAAAATGGCATTTTTACTCTCTCAACCTCATCATCTTCAAGTATTTACAAC